AACCTCCTGAGGAATTCACAGTTCCTTATTATCTTGGCCACCAGTAACTCTAGAACGGGTAAGGCGTTTGTTGAATAGCCATTTTTTTCTTTGCTTATCTTTAATAATAGATTCATCATGTTTTGTAGCAATGTGAGGGATTAGGGTTAGCCTAGACAAATAAAGAAATCAGGCAAAAATATAAATATACTATTGTTATTAAACAAACATTAAAATAATGTAAAACCGGTAGAAGGGTCAATATTAGATGAATATTTCTAGTAGTTGGAGGGCTATCATCAAATAAATTTTTTGGGGGACTTATCAAGCCTATTATGATATTCTAAAAGTTATTGTAAGGTAATTAAAAAATTAGATTAAAAAAGAGGGGGGGAAAGAAGGTATAAATTATTATATTATATTATATAAATTAAATTAAAAGTGATAAGGTTTTGAGAAATAGTGGTTAATAGATAATAGAGATAGAAAGAAAAGAATGAGATAATAAAATTTAGTGATAAATAAAAATGTTTATAAAATAGGTGGATGTGGCATAGGGATTGTGGTAGTGGTGATAGAAATATCATTTAGAGAACTGGGTGAAAATAAAATAAACATAGATATAAAACATAAGATTAAAAAAAACAAAATAAACCTCCAGATGAGTTCATTTCAAGCGTAGTTTTTTATTATTTTGTCTACCAGTAACTCTAGAACGGGTAAGGCGTTTGTTTATTCGTCATTATTTTCTTTGCTTATCTTTAATAATAGATTCATCATGTTTTGTAGCAATGTGAGGGATTAGGGTTAGCCTAGACAAATAAAGAAATCAGGCAAAAATATAAATATACTATTGTTATTAAACAAACATTAAACAAACATTAAAATAATGTAAAACCGGTAGAAGGGTCAATATTAGATGCATATTTCTAGTAGTTGGAGGGCTATCATCAAATAAATTTTTTTGGGGACTTATCAAGCCTATTATGATATTCTAAAAGTTAAAAAATAACATGATAAATATAATGTTATTAAGATAAAGGTTAATTAATTGTAAGGTAATTAAAAAATTAGATTAAAAAAGAGGGGGGGGGGAAAGAAGGTATAAATTATTATATTATATTATATAAATTAAATTAAAGGTGATAAGGTTTTGAGAAATAGTGGTTAATAGATAATAGAGATAGAAAGAAAAGAATGAGATAATAAAATTTAGTGATAAATAAAAATGTTTATAAAATAGGTGGAGGTGGCATAGGGATTGTGGTAGTGGTGATAGAAATATCATTTAGAGAACTGGGTGAAAATAAAATAAACATAGATATAAAACATAAGATTAAAAAAAACAAAATAAACCTCCAGATGAGTTCATTTCAAGCGTAGTTTTTTATTATTTTGTCTACCAGTAACTCTAGAACGGGTAAGGCGTTTGTTTATTCGTCATTATTTTCTTTGCTTATCTTTAATAATAGAATCATCATGTTTTGTAGCAATGTGAGGGATTAAGGTTGGGTTAGCCTAGACAAATAAAGAAATCAGGCAAAAATATAAATAAACATTATTATTGAAATAAAATAAAGATTTTTTGGAATAGATATAAAATCATATATAATATTATTTATAATAAAAATAATGTACTATGTATATTTTTTGTGCGTTATGCAAAATAATCAGCAGGGATAATAGAGCAATGGTGGATCCGACAAAATGGTAAGCTTTTAAAAAAGTACTTAAAATTTTTTATATTAATTTAGTTAAATTTTAAAAATGTACTTTGTATAATTTTCAATTAGACAAAATATTCATCAGAGATAAAAGGGCATATTGTGCAGCCCGACAAAAGGATGCTTAAATAATATAAAATTGTTTAAATTATAAAATAATATCATACTAAGTTCATTCTTATTCGTATAAACCGGGATTAATCGGATATAACCTCATGATAATTCACATTGGTTGTAGTTCTTGTTTTATCATTTGTTATAATCTTTAATTTATGAGGAGAACAAACTCGAGACATAGCCACATATAGCTGTCCATGTAAAAAAACAGGGTTCACAGGAATAATATAGAGCAATGGTGGATCAGACAAAATGGTAAGCTTTTAAAAAAGTAGGATCCTTAAAAATTGTTATATTAAGTTAGTTAAAATTTAAAAAATGTACTTTGTATAATTTTCAATTAGACAAAATATTCATCAGAGATAAAAGGGCATATTGAGCGGCCCGACAAAAGGATGCTTAAATAATATAAAATTGTTTAAATTATAAAATAATATCATATTAAGTAATGTTCATTCTTATTCGTATAAACCGGGATTAATAGGATATAACCTCATGATATATCACATTGGTTGTAGTTCTTGTTTTAACATTGGTTATAATCTTTAATTTATGAGGAGAACAAACTCGAGACATAGCCACATATAGCTGTCCATGTGAAAAAATAGGGTTCACAGTGATATGGTGGATCAGACAAAATGGTAAGCTTTTAAAAAAGTAGGATCCTTAAAAATTGTTATATTAATTTAGTTAAATTTTAAAGTAAACAAACATTAAAATAATGTAAAACCGGTAGATGGATCAAAATTAGATGCATATTTCTAGTAGTTAAAGGGCTATCATCAAAAAAAATTTTGGGGGACTTATCAAGCCTATTATGATATTCTAAAAGTTAAAAAATAACATGATGAATGTAATGTTATTAGATTAAGGTAAATTAATTGTAAGGTAATTAAAAAATAAAATTAAAGGGGGGAAAAAATAAGTTATAAATTATTATATTATAAAAATAATAAAAATTAAATTAAAGGAATTGATAAGGTTTGGCTATCATCAGGGAAAAATTTTTGGGGGACTTATCAAGCCTATTATAATATACTAAAAGTTAAAAAATAATATGATGAATGTAATGTTATTAAGTATAAATAGGTTAGGATAAGAATATTTAAATATTTGAATATATTTGGTTATCTTCTTAATTATTGGTTATGAAAGAAAAATATGAGTATAAAAAGATTTCATTAATGTGTATTTTTGGGGACTTATCAAGCCTATTATGATATTCTAAAAGTTAAAAAATAATATGATGAATGTAATGTTATTAAGTATAAATAGGTTAGGATAAGAATATTTAAATATTTGAATATACTTGGTTATCTTCTTAATTATTGGTTATGAGAGAAAAATATGAGTATAAAAAGATTTCATTAATGTGTATTTTTGGGGGACTTATCAAGCCTATTATGTTATTCTAAAAGTTAAAAAATAATATGATGAATGTAATGTTATTAAGTATAAATAGGTTAGAATAAGAATATTTAAATATTTGAATATACTTTGTTATCTTCTTAATTATTGGTTATGAAAGAAAAATATGAGTATAAAAAGATTTCATCAAGCCTATTATGATATTCTAAAAGTTAAAAAATAATATTATGAATGTAATGTTATTAAGTATAAATAGATTAGGATAAGAATATTTTAATATTTGAATATACTTTATATTGTTTTTCATCCATGTTAGTGATGTGTACACTATCAAATCCAATAATCTGTTTTATTTAAATTAAATAAACAATAAACAAATTAAATTAAAAAAAATAAAAATAAATACGTACCGATGACATGACGTAGCGATGACATGATGTCACGATGACGTAGTGAGGACATCGGAAAATTATAATATAGATATAACTGTAATATATTATATAACTATGAAAAACGTCTATAAAAGTGGCATTATATCTAATATTTTATAAACAACTCTATATAGTAGAGAATTATAAACTATATATCTACGACCTTGAAAATATTTTTGAGGTATGATAATAAAATTTAATAAATATACAGTTGATTCAGTGGCGTAGCTACGGGGGTGGTTTTCGGGTTTGGACCCCTCCCAGAGCAAATTTTTTTTTTAGATTATACGTTCAAAAGACTTAAAAGTGACTTTATATCAAATAAATACCATTAATATTTATATTTTTCTGGATTTTGTGGAAGGATATTATATTACTATTGAAATTATTATGGGTAGTATTATTATAAAGAATAACATATTATTCATGCATTTAAAAAATATATTTATTATATATTGTCGAAGATGTGGTTATGATTTTTAAGATAAACCCGGCCGAAGGTCGGGCAAAAGGGCCGAAGGCCCGTTAAAGGGGTCTGGGGGCGAAGCCCCAGAATTTTTTATGTATGGACCCCCTCTAAGAAAAATTCCTAGCTACGCCACTGAGTTGATTAGTCATTTTGAACTCGGCTAATTACAATATTAAATTTGTTAATTTTCAAATAATATATGATTATATATATTTAATTAGGGTTAAATAATAATTAAAAAATAAAAGTCAATTAAACTTCAACTGTTAAAGCTAAATTAATATTTAGTGAGTTATTGATATTATATTTTTAATACAGAATTTGATTGCAAGCTGACATAGTGAAAATATAATTTATATGTATTAATCTAATCTAATAATTAAAATAATATACATTTAATAAAAATTTAAATAGTCTTATTTTCTAAATAATAAAATTTTATCTATATATTACTTAATGGAATTATAAAAGAAATCATTCAGTGGGCAATCAAAAAAATCTATTTTTAGTTCAAGGGGATATTAAGGAGCCATTAAAAAAAAAAAATTTGCTTCAGGGGGCTATTCAAATTTTTCAGGAGGCTCGAGCCCCTGCGCGCCCTCCCTAGCGATGCCACTGTTATGAATACGATATATATTACATAAAATAATTTTTAAAAATATTTTCAGTTTACACAAATATATGAGTAAGCAATATTAATTTTAAATAAAAATAATAATAATAATATAAACAATATATTTAACATCAATTTGATAATACATGTAGCCTACCCTTTAATTTTTTAGCGATTCACCATTGATAACACTATTCTAGATAAAGTTTAATATTTCTGTTTTGTAATATGAATATACTTTGTATACAAAAATATAAAACAAAAATGTTTAAGCACTGATAATGATTGACATGGAAAGCCTGTTTTTGAGGTATTCAACAGGTTTACATTTTAACTAAGTTTTCGAATCCTTTATCAGCAAGAATGAATATCGACAAGATACAAGAGTTTTATGAGCTATGCAATAACGCTGTATATTATACCATAAAATAAATATGATTCTAAATAGAGATATATGTATAGGAGAAACAATTAGATCGTTTTAATAAAGAAATTAAAGAATTAAAGGCCTTAGATCAAGTAGTGAATGATGAATTACGCCAACGTGAAGATACTTCCAAAATACATAATGAGAACTTGAAGTTAAAATATCAATTACATCATTTAAAGAAAGTAAAATCAGATTAATTTAAGTTTTTTTAAAATTAATATTACCATTTGATTACTATTTATATATAATTAACAAATAACACATTCATTATTTATAATATTTATTACTTTTATTCAATATTTGGAGAGTTTAGATGAAGCTCACAAAGAGAGGCATAAATATACACCAAGTATATTATTTGTATTGCAACAATTTTTTACAAGAGCAATACATGATGCATACCCCAATATTGAAGAATCATTAGAAGCTAGTATACAAAACTGTGGCAGCCAGTCCACCTTTGGTGATTACCAATGCAATTCTGCTATGAGTCTCTACAAAGTTTCATTTTTTAAATCTACTTAAATATGAAATACATTATTATATAATTTTTAGATGATATATATAATTTTTTTGCTATATTGCAAACCCTTTTATTTGACATTTTAAAAATTATCAAGGAAAGACAAAAAACAACTATAATAGAATTTTATCATAAAAACGTTTCTATTGTTTAATAAGATAGGAGATTTTGATATTATAGAAACAATGCAAATATATTTCTATATGCATTTTTTAAATAGACTATATATCCACTTTTGCAAATATATTATTTATGTAACCCTAACTTTATTAAACCATTTAATATTAACCTAGAGGTATATCTGGGATTTTACTATGGGGGGGCACTATTAGGTGTGGTTTTACTTCCCTTCCTTGCCAAGAAGTTGGTTTTAGGAAAAAATAAAATAAATTGTATTGACTTTGATTTTTTCAGGGATGTGAACCAGAACCCAACCTCTCATGTTTTTGCTGAACTCTTTTTAAAGTAGAGGGTTTAAAGTATCAAAAAAAATATTAAAAAATTATTTTTGACTGATAAAAAAAAATTCACGAAAAATAAATTAAAAGTTATTTTTTGTGTAATTATTTTTTACTTTCTTTGCATTTTTCAAAATTTTGACTTTGCCTCTTTGTATAAATTTTATTTTTACTGATAATTAATAACCTAATAAAATCTTTATCTTGTTTTTATATCAATTTAGAAAGTAAGATAAAATCTAATTTTTGTAAATACTCAATTTTTAAATTCAGATTTATATGAAAATCTTAAAGATATTTTGGAAGATGTTTTGATTGGTTGATTGAATAAAACATTTAAAATTAAAATATAAAGTAATTCATACATTTTTTGCAAGTAAATTATGTTTTATATGGAGTAAAATAAAAATAAAAATAAATGAAAAAAAATTGTGTTGTTTTATTAAGAGTCAATATTTCTTTCTGCCCTCCGAACTCTTAACCTAAACCCTTTTTAAAATTTTTTATCTCTGAACCAAACCTGGACCTTGTTTTTTTCGAAGGGTTCACATCCTTGATTTTTACCCATAACTGAACCATAAGTGGTAATGTTAGAAAGTATAATATATTATTAGAGATCAGAAAAGCCTGGACTATCTGATTAGCTCAACTTGCAAGCCTGGCTGGGTAAATTTAAAAAAAAATTATAATGAGCCAAATTGAGCTGAATCAGGCAGAGCCTCCCAGACGGGCATTAAAATTTTGATATATTTTTTTGAATTTTTACCTAATATTTCTATTTTGATTAATAGTATTTGAAAATAAATTACAATATGCTTATTCCTTTGTATTTTAAGGGTTGAATCTCTATATCTACTAATTGAATATTATTATACTCTATGAAGATATTTAATAATATATTCTGATGATTTACAATTTGCTCTTTATACATTTTGACAAAATTAATTTTTGAGATTGGTTCTAGAAGAAAAGCCAACAGCTAGAAAATTTTTGAAATAAAAAGTAAATAAAAATACTTATAAAATAATAAAACTTGCAAATCACAAACAGGAAATTGTAATGCAAGCTTTTTAAACATATTTTACTTAAGTGAAATAATTTCCGAATTATCTTTATCGTTTCTATTTAGTGCCTTTCTATTTCACTTCTGAAAAGTAATGTCAAGTTTAATATAGGCCCATTTTATAAAGATATGAATTCAACTGTTTCTTTAAATTTCGAAAGTAAAATTTAGAATTCCTCTATGAGATCCGATTGATAGTTTGAATTTGAGATAATAATGCCTTCCAAGCATAATGAATGTACTATGTTATGCCAGGTTTACATTTAGTTTTAATTGAACATGGTGGGCAAAGAAAATTTTTAATAGGCACTACAACATCATTAAGGTTGAACAGGTGAAACATTTTAAAATTATTCCGTCAGTTAACATTAGATTGGACATGGATAATTGGAATTTATCCATATCATTTAAATCAATAATGATAAAATAAAAAACTTCATTTATTAAACACCTTAAATGAAGAAACGGCTATGAAAATAATAGACCGAATGGAACATTTTCATCGGAAGGTTTAAAAAATTTATTCTTGATGGAGTCCTTAAAAAATCGCTAACAAATTAAAGAATTATGTAAAACTAAACAAGAAAAACACGAAAGCAGTACACCTGACAAGAATTTGTTTATTTACACCCTATGTATGATCAAATGATGATGTGACTGTTATTTATTTATAGAGAAATGTTCGGATATTAATATTCTCAATCGATTAAAGAATTTGGGGGAATTTAACTTAAATTATCTTGAAAAGATCTTTAAAAAAATTTGGCCATGGCTTTTATGCGATAATCAACATACAAATCGAAATATATTTATATAAAACAATATTTACAATAAGAGTAATAAATTAAATGACCATATAAGATATCCATATATTAATAGATTCTATAAAGCTAATGATAATCAGCTAGGAATTCCTAAACATGCTAATTTAAATAAAAATGATGATGAAAATAAAATGAACCAGGAAAGCACAAACAATCATTGAGCATACCCGATGTTCGATCTATTTTATTCAGGCATTTACTCTGATGTCATTATACAATTACAACATTATTGATTGACCAATTATTCTAATTAAAAATTTATAAAATATTTTTAAAAAAAATTATGCACTGGATAGCTTTGGCGTGATTTTTAAAAGTGGCGACGTTTTCTACATGATTAATCATATCGCCGGTTTTCCAGCGCACAGATCTATGAACAGGATAGTGCAGACTTTTTAAATGTTAATAAGCAGGCTGGGCTAATTTTAAAAAATATTACAGGCCTTTCAAAAATTTAATAGGCCGGGCTGGGAAACCTTTGCGAAAATTCTTAAAGGGCAAAATGGGTTAAGTTAGACTTTGCAGATCTCTAATATATAATATAAATGAATTCTTTTTTAAATAAAAAATTTGTGTATATATTTTTTGCCAACCCATTTGTGCGAAATAATTAATTATATATATGTGAATATGCAATGTAGCTGGCAAATTTAATTGTCTTTTATAGATTTTATAAAATTTAGTATAAAAGTGTAAATCAAATATTTATTCTATCTGGTTTATTTTTACTCATATCTTTCGATATTTATTCCCGTATAAAATTAGGTAATGAAGTCTAAACAAAATATGAAGAAGAAAAAAATATCAGATCCTAAAATGATAGCTGAACAACTCACTCGAAATTTATTACAAGCTCAAAAGAATTATATGATTGATTTATTAACCATAGCTCCTCCTGCCTTCATAAACATAACTCTCGCTAAAACTCCTATAATTGATATTTTGACAAATTTTTTGAAAGAAGGCAGCATATTACCACCTAACCCTGGCCCAAAATATAAAGTTATAGTTGATTTATCTTCACCCAATTTAGCCAAAGAAATGCATGTTGGACATTTAAGGTAAATTATATTTTGGTTCTGTTTTGATTAAATATAATAATAATATTAGTTAATAAGCTATTAATAGAATAATATTTTATTTTACTTAAATTTTGATTCCATTTTGAAAGATTTTTATGCCTGAAAATTACAAAAGATTTTGGCATTTTTAGGTAAAATTGGATCAAAAATCTCTGTTCTTTGAAGAAAAATGTGAAGAATTTTTCAAACTGTTTTTTTTTTATTTACGATCTTATTGGAATAATATCTTGGATTTTATAACCCTTAGTTATAAATAATAAAGTGAGTGGATGATTTGGGCATAGCTCACTCTCATTTTAAATTATATTTCACTCAAATTTATATCTATTAAGCTTTGATATTTTAGATATTTAATTGAATTAACCAATAAATAAGAATTTTATAAAAATTTTGTAAAAGAAGTGCCAGAAAGCAAAGCAATATTATCTTAAATAATATATTTCTATTTTTAACTATAAAGAACTGTTAAAATACCAAAATTTTACTTAATTATAATATTTAAATATTCATATAAAAAAACCTTGTTTACAAATAATATATATTTAAAAATCTTTTAATAAAATATGTATAAAACTTTGCATATAATATAAAGTTTTTTTACATTAACATTTAAAAATTTCTGAGGTGTTGCTTTGCTATACCCAGTAAACCACTCAAGGATTAAAGTGTTATATTTTTTTTAATATTTTAAACAATAAGATTTTAATTAAAAAGGAAATTGGTTTCCCATATATTTTCATTTGTCTTTTCTAAATTAATTTCTCAGATCCACGATTATAGGTGACAGTTTGTGCCGTCTTTTAGAATACCTAGGCTTCGACGTACTAAGGCTTAATCATGTCGGCGATTGGGGCACTCAATTTGGCATGCTCATTGCTCACTTACAAGAGAAATTTCCGGATTACCTTAAAATTTCGCCTTCGATCGGTGATTTGCAATGTTTTTACAAGGTTTTAGAAAAAAATTATTTATCTAATATAATGAGAGATAACAATGTTTGCCACAATACCTCCTGGTTTCTGTGCAATCCATAAATATGCTCGTTTGGTTTTCTGACATGTGCAACCGACAACCCACCAACATCGAGATTTTGATTCTGGCATCCTCTCCCATACTAGATACGATGTGTGAAACATCGATTTCATCAATTTTAACTATTCTGCCAAGCATATGTATTACAGAAACCTTCATGGGACTTGATTACCTGGCCCATATTTAATATTAAAAAAAATTTCTAAGCCAATAAGTTTCAAAAATTTTGCCAATCCCATATCCAAAATTTTAATTTATTGTATTCAATGAAAATAAACAATGTTTCAGTGTATTTAGGAAAACAATTTGTTTGCAATACTGAAATTAATTAAACTAGTAATGGTTTTTAAATAAGCTAAATTAAAATTTTTTAGGCCCTAGTCCATTAAAAATGCTATTCAAAAACTCAGGCCCGTTAGAAAATATATTAGTCGGGTATGATGAAGGTCTCTGATGTATTATATTGGTTTTAAAAATTTTAATATTTTTTTATCTTACATAAAAATATGCTTAATTTTTTTTAAACTTTTCTTTTTATAATCTAAAAAAATATTCTAACAATAAAAAATGACGTGTAAAAAGTAATTAATTTACCAAAAATTATCGAATATGAACGAACATGTGTTTCCAATAAAATAATTTAAAAATTATCCAATCACTGCCTTGTTTATTTTCGAAATTCTGGTATTTTTAAATTACTCATGTGTTTGTGATTTCTATCGGCACATTTAACAGCCAAGGCGAGTTCTATTTAAAAAAATTTATATCTCCTAATCAAAAAAAGGAATCTAAGGTAAGGTTTGACAATGATCCAGAATTTAAAAAGCGTGCATACGAGAATGTTGTCAAACTTCAAGGCAGAGAAGACAATATAATGGCCGCCTGGAAGTTGATTTGTGACGAATCCATTAGAGGTTTCATATTAGATATTTAAAGTTAATAGGGTGTTTGCAATTGGTTATAAAAATGCATTATTATTGTGTATTTCCAAACTATTGGATTATTTTCATATTATTATTTTATCATTTCACTTTGAATCATTTACTCATGACGCGCGCTATATTATATGTCAAATTTATTTCTTCGAATTTGTTGATTACATACTGGATTTGTTTAAAATTTCCTTTTATTTAAATAATACTTTTAAAGTTTAAAATCATCTGAGTATCTTACCTTTAGTTAAATATGACTTGATTTAACATAATCACCTTTAATAGACATTGTCATTCTATAGAAATTTAGTTAAAAAATGTTTACCAAGCAAACATGCAATCGGTATCCGTTTAAATTGCCTTATTACCCAACCCCACATATGTTCAGGTTGCGGCTCCGCAGTTTTGGGCAATGGAAGACATAGTCTTCATTGTCGCTCATGTAAAGGTCGAATTGTAAGACATAATCTATGCAATTCGATCATTCTTAGAGCTCTTAGATCTGCTCAAATCCCCTCCACTCTTGAACCATCCGGTCTTTTCAGATCTGATGGGAAACGGCCTGACGGTATTTCGCAAATTCCTTGGAAGCGCGGTCAATTCCTGGTCTGGGACTATTCTTGTATTGATCCACTCGCTCCATCAAATCAAACAGTCAATATACTCGAGAAAAAGGAGACACTCAAAATAGCGAAATATTCCGAAATCTCTCAAGAATATATTTTCATCCCCATTATTTCCACTACCCTTACTACTTTTGGGGAATGTGCCTTATCCTTTTTCAAGGAACTCGGCTCCCACATTCGTCAACTAACCGGTGAACCCCGCGAGGGCTTCTTCTTAAGGCAAAGGCTCTCCATCGCAATACACAAGGCTAATTATATTAGCTTCATAAGCAGTCTCTCCCCACAAGATTATCCTTCCTAACCACAATATATTTTTTTTTTAACACCGTCACAAACATATCCTCCAATACTATATTTATTTATTTTTTTAAAATGTTTTTTTATATGTATATAAATATATATACAAATATTAATTATATTGTATTATATAAATAATTAGCTAAATAATGTTTTTAATTAAATTTGAATGATAATAATTTGAATTCAAATTTTTTTTAAATATCGTAATATTTTAGAATTTCAAGCCATATACGATTTGTTGGATATTAAATTGGTTTACCGAGGAGAATCTTTTTATCAAGACATGATGAAAGGAATGATCTTGGAGTTACAATCTCAAAGTGCGTATGAAATTTAACAAAGCTAATTTTTGTTTTTTTAAAAATTATAATCTATGAAACAAAATTTTAAAGAAAAGATGCTAATAAATAATTTTAAAATCATTAATATATTTACCTCTTCTGATCTAGGAGGGGAGATGCAGAGATATCAGTTTATTTTGATCCTATTACTTTCCTCTATCCTATAGTTAAACTTAGTTATCTATATCTTACTCATTTGCGATGTTAAGATTAGAACTGTGCGCCGATGTCTCAATCGACAGCGGCGTTATTTTTTTATTTTTTCATCGGCGTTTAGCGGCGCGATATTTATTTAAAAAATTTTTTAATTTATAAATCAAATTATTAAATTTTTTTAAATTTATTTGGGCGCTCTTTTCTAAAACATCTGAAATTATTTCCTGTCTCACTCCAATTTAAATTATTTTCTCATTCTCAGAAAAAGACTATAGAATTGCATTTTTTACTCATATCAGAGTTACATAAACAACACATATTAGTAATATTCTATTGATTTTTATTATAACAAATTACTATATAAATTTACAATGCAAGCAAAATATAATAAATCAGAATTCAGACTCAGCAAAATTATAATTGTCATGAATAAATAGTATTTTATCAAGATTCGTGGGACATAAAGAAGTCCTTTTTGCATTGAGTATTAATCTAGCAATGGAAAAAATTCTTTCGCTGGGCGTACTGGTTGCAGGTATACAAAGAACCTTTCTAGCTAAATTAGCAAGACTAGGAAGTTCCCGTCGCTTTTCTTCCAAAAGGTTAATGTACATCCTCTTCTGGGATATTATGTTGGCTAAGAAAAATATGACATTCTTGTTCTAGATTATTAATGTTGTTATAATCGTTGCTTGGAAGGGAATGTTTACCAGCTATTTTATCTATATAAGAACTATGCTTGCCCATTCTTCAACTTGAATCTCATTCTGTGCATTTCTATCATGCTCTAAAAGTTTTAGATGTATAATTAAAAATTACAACGATGTCATAAAATTCGAATTTAAGTATTTTGAAACAATTTTAAGATTTTGAAATCTGGGATCAAATAGAGTCGCTAAGATCTAATGTTTAAAATATAATTTTATTAATAAAAATATAAAATAACTTGAAATCAGTAATAGGAAACCTATGGTCAAGCTTTTTTTCATATTCACTTTTAAGCAAGCAGTCAGATCTATTGCTTTGTAGGGTTTAAATAATAACCCTAGTTTATTGTCGATCTGTTTTGGGAGGAAAGAAATTCCACCGACTCTCGGGGATTCAATACTGCATAAATCTCATAAATCATATCCCATTCATTATTAAAGAGTTTTAAAGATTGTTTTCCTAATTTATTTAGAACATTATTTATAGGAATTTTGTTTATACTGCGAATACTTTCTAGCATAATTAATATGTTGTGCCAGCAGGTAGGGCAATTTAGTTTTAAAGTTTTTGTATTAATTAGACTGGTTGGTGCAATGCTATTTCTATTATCCGATCAGACATATCAAAATGGTCACCAAAGGGTGAATCAGAATCATCAATATTCAAGATATGACCTGTCTCATAAATTGATGCAGACATTTAGGATGCTCTTCCTCAATTTCACATTCCAAATCAGCTACACGATATCTGAGGGCTGAAATTATTTCTCTAATTTTTTTAATGAGAATATCAATAAAATGGATTATGTTTATCCGAATCTTCCTCATCTATTTTCCCCAATTTTAAGCTAGGTTCACAATAAATATAAACAGGCATTATTGTGCTTTTCTTAATTTCATTCTTCAAAATAAGATTTCCAAAGTACCTCCAGACATAACTCGATTTATGATTAGTAGAGAGAGTTGTTATTTCATGGTATATAGGGTGGTTTAAAACGTGCAAGTATATAAAAATAATTAATATGTATTGTTTGTGGAAATTGAAATATGATGTAGGAATAAATGTAAATGATATACATTATTCTATTATATATAGCAATAGAATACCATATGTTAATTTTATTAATGTTAATATTCAAATTTATATAATAATAATTTAATATATAAATATAATTAACCAGCATTCTAAAAATTATACACGCCTCGCCGCCGCCATTAAAAAATTGGCAACGAGCCGGCTCACGCCGATGATCTCAATCGGCGGCTGTTTTGGGGTGAATAAAATTGCCAGCGGCGCCGTCGTGAGCCGGCGCCGCACAGGTCTAGTTAAGATACGATGTTCAAAAATATACCGTTAATTTAATAGATTTATATGACTATTTTTTGAATAATATAAATAAATAGACAAATTGGTGAATGAGGATGGAAGATTAGTAATGTTTGTTAAGAACCATGACGTGCCTTTAATTTTGCAGAAATCTGATGGCGGTTTTACTTACGATACATCTGATCTGGCTTCTATAAGGTTAGTCAATTTTGTAAGGCGAGAAAAAAATTGTTATATTCCAAGTAAACGTACTATTAATTTCTTGTGAAAATTTATAAGCCGTATACCATATTAGGAAAGTTTAGACGATTTTTGGATTTATAGTTTTTAAATAATACATATAAAATCGTAACCTTGTAAATCTCGTTCTAAAAAAATCACTCATTGAGGTTCTCTCCTGGAACAACATAATTTAAATACTTAATTGCTTTTTGGTAGGATAAATAGCTTTTAGGACAACCTATTTTGGTTTGTTTTAAGTATTTGATGGCATTGTTATTTGTCGTATTTTATTTTATTTTTTTTTGTTTTTTATGTTTTGTTTAGATATTTTTTGATCTAGTCGATAATAAATAACCGCCTATTTAGTAATAAGTCGACCTACACGGCCTTATTACTTAAATTAATTCACATTCCCTTCAATTGTTGATAATATTACTTAAATTTAAGACATCGTATACAAGAGGAAAAAGGACAACGATTGATTTATGTGGTCGATAGTGGGCAGGTTTTTATTTTAAAATGGATGTTCTTTTTATTGTTATTATAAAAATGTATAATAAAATATTAGCATTCATAGTTATAAACTAGATTATAAGAAAAAAAATTGCAATGTATTTAAATTTAATTTTAAATCGACTTATTTTTCTATACTTCTTGCTGGAAAGAAAATTGGATTGTTTTAAGCAAGAAAATAGGAGAGAAGATAAATAAAGCGAGAAGGAATGAAAGGAAGAAAGAAATCATGATTCCCTTAGAAAGAAAATAAAAGAATGCCACCATTATTTTTTTTATTTTGTAAAAACTATAATTTTTTTAAAATAAATTATTACTGTTTATTTTATAAATATAACAAAAAGTCGTTACATTTTAATGCCCTTTTTGGAGCCTGTAAAGAATTAGGTTGGGCGTCTAACGTTAAATTGGAGCACGCTGCCTTTGGTGTTGTTTTAGGAGAGGATAAGTAATTTTAAATATTTTAGAATTAAAACGGAGTTCAATATAATTTTGAAGTCATTTTTTAAAAATCTTTTAAGATTGCCAATAAGTTAAAAAATGTGTTAAAAATACAAAAAAAAATATAGTTTTAAGCTAAATAAATAAAATCATACTAGGCATAGCCTAAATATAAAATGTGAGAAGATTAGTGGTGTAAAAGTAAAGGTTATATAGATATAAGTGGTAGATTTGACAAAAGAGAGAAAATATTATAATTTATTTTGATATTAATGGAGAGGTCTTAAGTCAGAATCATTTTTATTAACCAATGCCATAAACATTACTTTTAAAAAGTAACGCTGATCGTTACCTTTCAAAGCCTTTATTTTTACCAATAATACTTTACCACAATACATAAAAAAACATTTAGGAAAAAATTTAAAACTCGTTCTGGCGATACAATACGCTTACTAGATCTTATATCCGAGGGTCTGAAGAGAACTGAAGCTAAATTGATCGAAAAAGGAAGAGACAAGGTTACATTTATATTTATTTATAATATTGCATGACAAAACCATGAGTAAAGTATAATAAAATTTAGCGTGCAATTTTTGATTTTCCCAACCCTATTTATCACGAGGTTATAAGATCACACATAATAGCCCCCTCCCCAGGTATTTAAATCTAATCTATTTGGTATAGGTGTTAACGCCTGCTGAATTCGAAGCCGCAAAAAATGCTGTAGCTTTGAGCTGTATTAAGTACGCCGATCTTTCGAATAATCGCACCAAGGACTACATTTTTTCTTTTGATAAGATGCTGGATGATCGGGGTAACACGGCTGCTTACCTGCTTTATGCCTATACCAGAATTCGGTAAGCATTATATTTAGAGACATAGTGATAAGAGGGAAGAGAGTAATGAAAATAATTTTTTAAGGAAAAGCTCAATGGCGCATCTGTAAATTTATATTTCATTATTTTAACCCCTGGAAAATAAATTGTGTAAGTTACAAATGATTTAAATTATTTTTTCATTTATATTTTTGATAAAAGAGGTAATATTAATCATATTATATTATATTATATTTTACTTTATTTCTATTTCTATAATTCATTATCTATTTTTATTTTACATACTGATCCTTTTTCATCTAAAATAAAAATTATATATAAAAATAACAACCTTAGAATACAAAATGATGAAATAAAATATAACGAAATAAATAGTAAAATAAATAAGTTCATTAAATATTCTAATGTTATATAAAATGTTATTATAATAATTATTATATTTTATTTTAATTAATATTAAAATTTAATAAAATTAATTATATTATATTTTTATAATTATTATAATTTTAATTTATTTAAATTTATTATTAATATTTTTTTTTCAACATCTCTAACAAATGTAATGTAAAATTTAATAAAATTAATTATATTATATTTTTATAATTATTATAATTTTAATTTATTTTAATTTATTATTAATATTTTAATTTTTAATATATTTTTTTCAACATCTCTAACAAATGTAATGTAATTCCTCACGTTTTTTTAACACTTGTGATCACGCCCATTATTTAAATATCACATAATTATTTAATCGAAATGGAAAGTTCTATCGGTAGACTAGCTGGCCACGATCGAAACACGTTAAGAAAAATGATGCTTTCTCTCGAAACTAATGCTACTCCCACGAATAACACGTTTGGTGGGTTCAAGCTGGAGCACGAGAAGGAACTTAAGTTAGCCAAAATTTTATGTAGAATAGGAGAGATTATTCTTCAAGTCACAGATACCTTGCTTATCCACACGCTTTGCGATTATCTTTACGAAGTTTCTTGCGTCTTTACAGAGTTTTACGATAACTGTTATTGCGTGGAAAAAGATAAAGCTGGTTTATTTTTATTTATTTTAGAAACCGATTAAAGGATAATATTTATATTTTTTATTTCATTCATGTTATTTATTTCATGCTCCAAGCTCATTCAGAAATTAATAAATATTTTTCTTAAAATAATGAAATTTATGGTTCTCAATTTTTTTAAATGATGCCTAGTGTCTCGTCAAGAAATTCAAATATAATCCATAATATAAATAGTTTGATCTCTACATTATCCTGGTTTACTCATTCTTGTATAAAATCGGGGACAAAAAATAAAAATAATTATAAGATGATGATTAAAGTCATTAAAATTTTATAAAAATAGAAGGACTTTAATTTTAATTGTTTTTAATTTTTTTGACTCCTAAAATATGGGGTTAAGTAAAAATTATATATTTATTGGCTGTTGGGTTTTTGTTTAAGTTGCTTTTGTTTTTAACACAGGATGCTTATGCGGTTAATTAAAGTAATCGTATAACTTATTGACCAAGATTATAGTTGCTAGAGCCTTGCAAACCAGCCTAAATTCGGGACTCTGCCTTAAAATTGGGGCCGAGCCCAAGGCTAAATATGATCAGCCCTAAAATTTAAAACAGGTCAGGCTCGGACCTAAATAAATGAATTTGAGGGCTCTAATGATACTCTCCGATATAATAATAAATTTGTTATTTATTTCCAAAACAAAGTCACGCAAATTAATTTAATGATATAGATTTAAAATGATTTTTATCTTTTTATAAGTTTATTATAAAAAAATAATAATTAATAATTTTTTCTCAATTGGCGTGAAAAGAGACCACAAAACTTTTATATAGGATATATAATTGAAACATGTATTTTTTATTTAAAATAAAATATTTAGGTAATATAGTCAAAGTTAGCATCGAAAGATTGATGATTTGCGAAATAACGGCTTTAGTCATGGAATTATGCTTTAAAATTCTGGGAATTGTTCCGGTTGAAAGAATGTGATGAATATTTATTTCTAAATGTGTTTGAGTTTGCGTATTTTAATAAAAAAATTGTGAAGATGCTTATGATTTAAATATATATATATTGATTTGACATATATACTAGTCGTCTATGATCACTTTACTATCAATCATCCTATCTCAAAACAGATTTACTTTATATTAGAATGGATTAAAATATATAATATATTTATATTTCGTCATCCAATTTTTTGGATGCTTTTTTTACACACATTATGCTGGGTTTAAAAATAAAATTCTAGGAAAATCGTTCAGAGTATTAAAAATGTTAAAATTATAAATGGATTATTGGAGGGAATTAGTGGATTAATGATTTGAAAGCTTAACGTTTTAAGGCTAAGAAGGTTTTTCAATAGGTCCTTGGGATCCAATGAAGCTATATAACTTATTCTTCATTTAATGACGATTTCAAGATATACTAATATTAGGGCATATCTCCCACCCTTTAGGGTTAGGGGTACTCTTAGTTCTCCTAAGAGTAGATATCCAAGTTAGCCAGTTTCCCTTTGATTTTTCTTCTCCATTTTTGACGGTCCTGACCCTGAGCAATATTTGTAATATTCATTTTCACATATCCGCGGCTATCATCTTTATCCACATCATCTTAGGCTTTCCTTGAGGTCTTGATCCTCCTACTTCCATCAGGGTACATGTCTTTACCCAGTCATCTTTCGTCTTACGTTCCACATGTTAAGGGTAATTCCATACCAAATCGATAACTTTTCATCTATTTTTTCTCCACTACGATTACTTCTATTCCTCCTTGCTAGCTTTTCTACCTCTCAAAGATATCCCACACCCCATCTAATCATCCTCATCTCCATTCTTTTCAATTTGCCTTCTAATATTTATCTCTTAAACGATTGAACCATCCTTCATATAATATCGTATAGGTTTTTTATATGTTACAAGTTGGTTGATTTTGGGTTTTCTCTCCATTTTAATAATTGGGTCGTTAACAATTTATTTCTCAATTATAATGATCTATAATCCACTTTTTGATTAAATTCCTTTTCCCAAGAATTAAATTCTTTGCGCTAAATTGTTTTATATAAACATTCCAAATGTAAAAATAATCAAGATGATGATTATTATTATATGTCATCCATCGTTCTAGCGTTTGGGTTTTGGTAAAAATGAGTGCTTGATAGTCATCGTGAAATAAATTAAACCAATAATAATTAATTATAAATTAAATATAGGATCGGGCTGATACTAAAAAAAGACATTATTTCGCACTGAATAAAAACTGATTTTTTTTTACTTAATTGCTTAGATTTAAAAAAAAATACTTATTGCTAAGGATTTATACTGAATTGTACAGATATTTTTTTTAAAATCAAAAACTATTGTTCAAAGTAAAATTTTTGATTTTCTCAGAATTTTTTTATTGAATATCTCAGAAGAAATACTAAATCTCTCAGAAATTTTTGTCATAAAAGTATTTTATTTTCAAATTAAAACTAATCAAATGAATTGCTGAGTTTAATTATTTATGCTTCAGATCTAGGTTCAGCCGGATCACAGCCCTAAATTATATAGTGTTTTAAATATTATATTCATTTTGCCCGTTGGTCTACGACCCATCTTTAAGAACTCACGTGTTACACAAGACTCCTAAGGATAAAAATTTAAATGTCAAATGCTAGAAATGATATGCAACGTTATTGATTACGCTCCTGGTAATAGATATTAGTCTTTTTTTATTTGTCCCGAATAGCCTAACCTGGAAAAAAATTATTTATCCGCCCGTCCCGAATTAATTTAAATATAGAAAATTTAATATTTTTCTTTTATTATAAAAAAAATAATTTACAAATGAAAAATATTAGCGCCTTGTTTCTTGTTTTAAAATATCACTTTATTTGACAAAATTTAGTGATATCATATTTTAAAATTTAAACCCAGCTGGCGCGGCCCGAAATCTTTAAAAAATTTATAGGTCTGACCCAGCCCGAACCGAGATTATTTTTTAAAATAGACCAGGGCTCAGGCCAATCACGGGCCGTGATTTGCAGATCTTTAATGGATATCTTGATCATTTTAAACTTATTTATTAAAATTTTCATTGTATTAACCTTCAAATAATTTTGCACAAAAATCTTCTTTAAAAAAGTCGATCAAATTTTAACTAAAAATTCTAAATATTTTTTTATAAAAGTTAATTTATACATAATTAAATTTTATGCAATTTCTATACATAAAAAATCTCTCAAGTTGAATTTACAATTTAAATTAAAAATTAAATCTCAAAGATTTGCTCAAAAATTTTCTGAGGGTTTGTTTGTTCAAACTCAATACAGTTTTCCTACCAATAAGATAGCAAAACTTTTATCATAAAACACATTTTCGCGAGATTTTTATTGATAAACTTTTGTTAATCCACATTGCATGCTATTCAGCGAAGGCCATATAGAGAATTTTTTATAGCAGAACTTTTACCGAGATCTCTTTAGAGCTAATATATAACAGTAAAACTTTTACGTCAATTTATAATAGCGAAAATCTTATAGAGACTGCGAAACCAAATCGCTAAGACAATTTAGTGAAAACTATTTTGCGAATCATATATAACGAATTTATTAATTTGAATGAGTATTGGGAAAAAGCGCGAAAGCAACCGCGATAATTGCTAATAGTGACTATTTTCTAAAAACTATAGAAAAAAATTATTATATTGTTTCATATATTTTTTTGAGCAATTTATCCTTCAAATTGAATATCCGTTTTCTGGGCAATTCTGTTTTATATCTGATTAAGAAATAATTGTTGACATTCAATATTTTATCTGAGCCTTTAAGTATTCTAACGTTTAAGGAGTGTTTTAGTTTTAACTTTGAGGGATTAAATAAGTCAATTTTAAAATTTGAGACTATATAAATCTGGTGGTAACTCTGATATGATACTTTTATAATATATTAGCTTCGATAATTCAAATAGATTTTGATGGAAAGAAAATCTGACACCAAATTAAGATAGAGTGTGTACGATGAAAAGATTACAATAGATTATTTTTACAATACTCAGATGGAAAAATTTAGGGATAACTATTTTATAAGTGGGAATTAAGAAAATGAGTAGTAAATTCATGTTGAACTAATCCTTATTATTTCCCAACTAATTGAAATAAAGTTTGTATGGTCAACCATTTTTGATGGTAATTGAGAAAATCCTCAATTAAATAATTTTAAAAATGGAAATGATTAATTTCATAATTATTTTTAAGGAATGCATTAGGAAACAAATTTCAGATTTAGATTTATTTAAAGCAGAGACTTGAGGGCCAAAAAATGGTATTATTTTAAAAATATGGGCAAATTTAATTATTTAAAAAAATGAAAAGTCCGGGCTGGACCTTTACAATTAAGTGTTAAATTATGATAATATTTTGCTTATATTACTGAAATTAGGTATCTAGCAATTTAGGTTAGGGGTATGATATAGTTAATAGTTTGTTTTATAATAATTTTTTTTGCTTAAATTTAAGGTTTATCATTAACTACTCGTTTATAATTTAGATTAACAATTTGATTTGCGAAATTTTTTTCAGGAATATATTTTCTAGGAAATATTGTTATTTTGTTGATTTTCTCAAAACTTTTAAATATTTTATTTGTAGAATTCTATTACGGGGACAAATATTTATAGAGAATTTTTTGTAATATTTTATTAATTTTCTAAAATATCCTATAGGATCTAAAAAAACGGGGAAATTTTTTCGAGAGAACTATTTTGCAGGATAATTTTTTTCCAGAAAATTATTTTCCTAGATTCAAAGCATAATGACACGACAATACATAGTAGTTGAATGTTTGAAAAAAGGATATAATTATTGAAATAATAAGCTTGTGTTAAACAAAAATTAGGAAGGTCAAATTAATTTATATAAGGTATTTTCTTGATCAACATATTTATTAAATCTATATACTACCCCCATGAAAAAATACGTAAACATTTTTTTTATAAAATATTTTCCCATCATAATCAGGTTCAATTTATTTTTCAACAATATTTATGTTTATATAAACTTAAAAGGGTTCACTTCTTTCAGAACTTCAATTATATTAAGTTAGTAAAATGCATATAAAATGTTTATACTATCTATTTATATTAAATGTTTTGTTTTCAATTTCGACCCATTGGGTTTAAAACTAATCTACTAAAACCTAGTTGGATTGTGTAATCATTGAACCTTTCCTTAAGTTACTATTCTGAACATCGTTTTTCTTGTTGTAATTCTTTATTCAGGTTTTTATTTAGACCATCCATTTACCAGTACATATATTTTTTATTGCTCTACAAAATTTATCACTTTCTTTGGATCGAATTGCTGGCCACAATAAAAAAAAGGGGGATAGTGAAAACGAAAAAAAAAGTCAGTAATAATATAAAAATCAATGAGGAAATCTAAAATAAATTATAAAAAAGAATTATTTACATAAATTTTTGTATTCCACCTTACAATCTTGCATCATCCAATCCCCTCTTTTAAGTTCCTGATTATATTGAATCTCTAAAGCAAAATACTGAATAAATAAAAAAATACTTTTGAACATAATTAAATTACACTCTATTAATTATTTATTTTTTTAAAAAAGTTAATTATAACGAGGTGGCCATTTTTGAAGGTTTTATTGCATAATTTTGAAAATTTTATATAAGTATTTTTGAAAATTTTTCTTCACGCGGTTTTCTTCGCGAGAGTTTTATTAGTTAATAATTTTTAAGAAAAAAAGAATTTATAAGTAAGCTAACTAGAATCCAATATTGGTTAATGAATGTTATTATTTTTTTGTGTTTTATTAAAATTTTATCCTTACATACAAAAAATGTTGATGCTTTCGAAGTAGCGCAGTGGCTACGGTTCATGCGTGTATCACAATCCTCTAGTTCTGGGTTCGAATTCAGCAAGGAACATGTTATTTTATACTCCATCCTTGGGGGGGGGGTTGATGTATAGTAGGTTGGATTCTACCATGTAATTCCGTTAATAAATATTAAAAAATAAATGGGTCTTATTGTATTTTTAAAAAAATTTGGTCATTGTTTAGCAAGTGGACTAACTTCATATTTCGTATATCAAATCAGGGATCCGAACCGTTATTTATAAAGGTTCGGTTTGGTTACGGTTCAGTATGCAAAAAATTATAATGGTTACGTTTGGTTAGGTTCTAAAGAAAAAATTTAAAAAGTTTAGGTTCGGTTCAGCTAATTATAAAATAAAGGTTCATTACGGTTAGAAATTTTTTTTTTATTGAAGCAACACCATCGTCTAATTTATTTTTGAACGTATAAGTAATATATTTTCTAATATAAATGGATTACTTTTTGCTCGTTGTGACGATAACACAAATTTTAGCCCCGAAAAGGCCCTTTCTACAGAAACTTGTGTTGCGGGAACCGCCAGTACAATAGGAGCAAGTTTATATAATTAGGGATATTCAAATTATTTCCATTTCTAAAATATAAAAACTGAACAGGTTTGAACCGGTTTAGCCTTTTTTTATAAAGGTTCTTTTTACTCCTTCAAAAATAAATTATAGCCGTTCGGTTCAGATATTTATAATGGTTTAAAGGTTCGTTACAGTTCACACCGGGTCCCTGTATCAAATGTTATATTTCCTTCATATTATTTTTTTCCTGTCACAATAAATTTCTTAAAAAACAGGATAAGATAAAGGAAATTTTTTCCATGATTCTAAAAATATTCTGGTTACGGGCGGATAGATTTTAATAATAGGCACCAGACGTGGTGGCAAGTCATGACCGTAAGAATTGCTTTTATGAGAAGTAAGGTAAGGATTTTTAGTTTGTCACCCTTTTCAATTGTGTTGACAAGTTTGAGAAGGGGCATTTGTTGAGGGGAATTTCTGACCAAAAATGACAAGTGAAGTTTTTTTTTAAAAAAAATCACAAATCATACTCATAGCATATTAAAACGCAGGCACACGAAATAGAAATAGGCTAGCAAACTGGAAAAGAAAATGAAATCGATATAATTTTTGTGGTTTCCTTCCATTTTACCAATATATATTAAAAAAAATAGGAAAAAGTATTGATTTTATTTTTCATTGTTTAGTAGTTTTTTTAAAAAAAAATTGACTTTTTTGGAATGGCTTTGCCACAAATTGGTTTTTCTCGAAATCATTTATAGTATCCAAAATCCAACAATTTTAAATTCTCAATTAATCATAAGTTTGCATATTTTTATTTTTTTCACTTTCTTTTCTTTCACAAACATTTATAGATTCGCCATTTTTGTTTTTTGTTTATTATTTTTTTTTATCTAGCTTTCAAAAATAGAACACATTTTTATTTATATATTTTTCTTTTCTATTTATTTGAACCGCTCCAGTAAAAAAATAAATAAAATTTATTATTTATTTGTTTTTTATTTTTAATATTCTCTTCTTTCTTTTTTTTTTATCCTTACGAAATGAAAAAGGAAAACAAATAATTTTGAATTCGTTCGTACAATATATATTTTTTTTTTTAAAAAAATTACTTTAAAAAAATTTAAGCGCAAATTCTATATATTTTATGTTTATGTTTACAGGCCAAAAGCAAGATAAAATATTAGCAAAGCATAAAATCTTCAAAATTATATTATAACAAATTTATAAAAAAAACTGAGTTTTTTTTTGTGGGATTCCTTACCTATTGAAGTAAATAAAATCCGTCTGAATAAATTCAAAAATTCTCTTCCTTCATTTTTTTTAACTGCACCAACGAGGTTTATAATTCATAAGATGGAATATTATTGTTTAAAAAGCATGAAGGTTTGTATAAATATAGGTTATATTTAAATGATTATATTAATTAAAGCATAATTATCAAATATTACTTTTTTTGTAGTTTAAATTTATGGATAATATCTGCCCAGAATTAGAATAATTGATTGGTATTAAAATTACCTCTTATCCTTTACTATAATTTTAGTTGCCAATCGTTTAAATCGAACGTTTATTTACAATTATTAAAAAAAACGTTGCCATTTTTAAAATTGATTTGAGCATGCGCAAATATTTTTATATAAAAATGTTGTTTTATACAAACTAAATAGTTTACATCATAATGGATATCGAAGAAGGGGAAATAACTGGTGATTCTGACACAGATTGTCATGATATAAAAGAAAATTTTAAAAGTACTTTTTCCCTTTTATTTTGAATAATAAAATACATAGCTCTTCTTTTTTGGATCATAATTTTTTATATCATTTTTATTAGATAAAATGGGTTTTAAATTGAAAACAGCTGATTTAATCCAAAAATGCTTACCCCTTCAGGACATAAAAACACACCCTAAGAAACCCTATAAAAAAGATAAACAATATAAATCCAAAGATAAGTCTAATAAGATCGAAAATTCCATTAACGCGCATAATTCTGAGATCGATCAAACTGATCAAGCCGTTGATGGTTTTATTAATTCCATAATTGAGAATAACTCATCGAATGACCCCTCACCTTTAAATCCTACACTTGATTACAATAGCGAAATAACTACGCCTAAACGTGAAAAGAAATCACGGTGGGCCAATGTCGATGAACTTAGCAATAAAGCTGATCACGTGATTGAAACAGAAGCTTTAAAGCCCAATAGATATGCTAGCAAAAGGAAATTTGGAGAAACCAATAATTTCGAAAAAACCGATCAACCGTATAAACGCACCGGAAAGGTCATTATAATATAATTATATTTACAAAAAAGTTTTTTTTAAAAAACAATTTAAAAATTTCAATAAACAATTATTTATCCTTTTTTAATTAGCCCTACTTTAACGCCTCACGTCAAAAATATTTTGACCACGATAATGTTTCGGACAACTTGAAGGCCACGTGGTTTGAAAAGGAAGAAAACGAGAATCCAGTCGAGCAAACTTCCATTGATAAAAAACTAAAATTCATTAAAAAAAAGCCGCAATATAATAAAGGCGGTGTAAATGGCGATTCTTACGAGGAAGATTTTGATAAGCAACTGAGATTAGCACAGAAACAAGTTATTAGAAAAAAAATACATAGATCAAGAATTGTGATAGCCTTTATCTAAAATTGATATTTTATACAATATCACCTATTTTTCCTCTTATCATTTCCTCTTATTATTATCATGTGCGAACGTTAATATTTACTCCCTTGAGTGAGTAACTGTAAAAATATACTATTGGCAATATCGAAAAATACATCTTGAAATTGATTTTTACCAATATTACCCTTAAACTCTTATTTTAATCGAACACGGACAGCTATGTCTCAGGAAAAAATCCATTTCAAAATACCCCAATTTTATAATTTAAAAAAATTATTTTTTAAGTAACCCTTTTTTAATCATCTTCTAAAATTAGGGTATTTTTGTCTTGGATATTTCTGCCCGTGATTATTATTAATATTCCCACTTGTGAAGTTTATGACTCCTAAGTATACCACAAGGGATATGATATAGTTTTGGCTTATGTTTAATCTAAGGTTAAAAAAAGTTATTCTAAGTTAATATACGTCAAATTCCAATTTTATTTAGAGACAATTATGATTCGAATGTAACCAATTTGAAAACATTTATTTTTCATTATATTAATCGTAAGCATAGTGTAAGGGCGAGCATTTCCTCTTTCGAATTTTTCTTTTTGTAAATATTACTAAGCTATTAACCTCCCCCCCCCCCTCCTCCCACACTCTTGTTAATTTTTAAAAACGGCCCAATTAAGATTTTAGCAAAAATAATATTATGTAAGCCACGAGATTTTGCTAATAGATGGCAGAAAGGATTGAACCTCTATTTGTCAAATCTTGAGGCTTACAATATTATTTTGGCTAAAATTAAAAATCGGGCCGTTTAACTAAACTACCTCACACAAAACTCGAAAAAATAATTTTTAAAAAGTAAGTTATCAAATTTCGACATTCCTGATTACGCCTATGCAACCAATTATTATTTATTTTTGTGATTGAGCCACACCCTTTTACAATCACATCATTTATTCTAATTCCTCTTACGAATAGTAAATTATTCAATTCGTTCAATAGAATCAAATACTAATAATTCATATTCGTTTTTGAATAGTCCCACTCCACAGTTATTAACATTTAGCCCAGATTAGTGATTATTCTCAAAAAACTCATTTACATTTTTTTTATCAAATACAGGCATTTGGTATTGCCAACGCAGAAGGCAAAGACGAAGATTTAGAAGACGAGCGAAAATCAGTGGGTGTAAGCGAATACAGCAATAACGAGAGTAACTTCTCGGAAGAAAAAACGGCGAATCCTTTCCCCGTAGCTCACCCTTACAAACCTAATCGCCCTAACGATCTGTCTACAAATAAATTTACTAAAAATTTTGATACGCCTTCCCCAAAAATTTTTAAAAATAATAATTTTAGTCCTAGCAAGAACTATAACGCGAATTATAATAATAGGGGAAAATTTTCGGGACCCAGGGGCAGAGGTGGAGGCAGGGGAGGAGGCCGAGGAAGAGGAAATAGGGGAAGACCTGATCACAACAACAAATTCGACAACAAGAGGGGTAGGGGTGGAAATTTTGGTCGGAGAGGTAATTTCAATGACAGAGGAAGGGGTAGAGGAGCCGCTAGAAATAATTTCAAGGGGAACAAAAACTTTTCTAATAATTTTAACAACGATGACGAACAAGTGGAAGTAAACGAGTACGCGGAAGAAAATGAAATGACTGGAGAAAATAAGAAAGCAAATTACCAAGGAAGTGGAACTAATAACTACAAGAGTTTTGATAAGGTTTCTTTTATTATTAAAATTATTATATTTTTTTTTTCAACTTCCATTTGGTACCTGAATTTTTTTAGCAAATTGTCCAACCAATTTTTTAAGTGAATATTTAAATAAAAATAACCTACATATTTGAGTTTCATTCTTAATTTTTGAAACTAACTTTTTATTTTTAGGAAAAATCTGACATTTAGTTCATTAGAAACTCGTGTACAATGACATAATGATGTCATTCCTATCATTTAGGGGTTCTAAAACAGAAAATATTTTACTCGTATACTTTAGCACGCCCCCCCCCCCCCTTCCCTTTAATGGTGCCACTGGTAATACCAGTCTGATGTTACATTATTTTAACAATTTATTATATTTATAAAAAAGTAATTTATAAATTACGCTCATATTATATAAAGGATCGAAAAAATAATAGACCATCATATAACAACCATCAAGATTTTAAAAATAAGAATCAAAACGCTAATCGCCCTTGCAACAATAAAGTTAAATCCGAATACGTACAACAGCACCAACCAAAATCGATCTGCAAATTTTACACCGAAGGCCGTTGCACTAAAGTTTTTTTTAAAAATATTTATTAGACTCTAAAAAGATACTAACCAAACCGGGTTCGAAATATGTCTCGAATTCAATGCTGAAATAGCGGTCCATTTTTTTTATTATTTGAAACCCCCTGGTTATAAAGTTTATCTTAACTGTTATAACTTGTTTATTAATAACGCTCTCAAGAATCCCAAAAACGTGAAAACTAGATATGTACCTTATATTTGATCCCGTATTCTTCGGGCAACTTTTAAATCGTTAAAACTGGGATTGTTAATGATTAGATTTAAAACGTTCGCAAATCAGGCTAACGCTACTTATACTGAGTAATAAGTGAATTATACATTTTAGGAAAAGAAATATTATTTTTTCTCTTTCTCAACATACTTGTTATTATTATAGGGAGATGATTGCAAATTTAGCCACGATTCTAGCGTAAATTCCAAGCAAGAGGTTTGCAAATACTATATCCAAAATACATGCACCAAAGGAGACGCTTGCATTTTCATGCATTGTAATACTTTTTTAAAAAAAATATATTTAAATATTATTTCATTTTTTAAGCATTTACTTTGCAGTTTCTATTGAGGATCATAGGTTTGTAACAGACTAAAAAGGGTTCTGGTTCCTGATCAATTTTTTTTTCATAATTTTCAATAGTGGGTTTTGGTATTATTTTTCTTCAGATCCCCTTTATTTTGAGTAGGTTCAAAAAACTTACTATTTATATATTATTGTAGCATATTTAATAGTGCGCACAAATTGAGCGTTTGCGTTTTACCGTATTTTTTTAATAAAAAAACGTAACGCAATCCTTTTAAATTGAGGTTGCCTTTTTATATCGTCGATTCAAAATTTTAACCTTATCAATAAAAAAAATTGATAGTCTACCTTTTTATTTCATTAATTTCTAAATATTTCACTGTAGAAGATGAGGTATTTTTTAATATATATAATTTACATATAATTAAACAACTATGGGAAGGGATTTGTAGTGCCTCCCCTCTATTATTTTTATCTGGTTAACAAGGTTTTGTCGGCTTTCAAAATATCCGAGTTCTTAAAGAACTCGTAGACCAACGTTCAAAATAAATGAATAAAAAAGTTTTGAATGGAAGCACATTTTGCGTTTTTTAAATGGTTTTTAGCGCCAAGCGGTAATTAGATCATATACTATTTGAAATAAATTGTATGCTTTTGCAACGCAACATTTGAAACGTTCAAGTTCGCACTAAAATAGTAGATTGACCTATGGCTAAGTAATTTTCTATGTTTCTTCCATAATTTCCTCTCTTATATGAGTTAAGATATTTGTTGTCTTATCTCTACCAATTTGTAGGAAATATAATTTTTTCAAAGAAAACAGACGATTGTTAATTTTTTAAAATAGGATAGAATTAATTAATATGGGCGAAGAGGATCATAACATGGTGGGTTGATTTTAATTTTCTTATAAAAAAAGTTAATTTTTTTTGATTATGAAAATTAATTTAAGCTAAAAAAGGGCTGCTGCATAGCAATTAGATGGGGTATTTTATAAATTACTTGTACTTGAACCAATTTCTAGAAATATAAAATGGGTTCATTATAAGAGGTTTCTGGTTCCTGATCAAACTCTGGAAGATTAAAATAGAGTATATCACATTTTTGTTTTCCTTATCTTAGCTAACTACCCTCTTACCCATGGATGGTTGATTCTTCCATTTTACTACTGTCTAATGTCATCTTCAGCCCTAGTCCTTGCTTCTCGTTGTCTTATTATATTTATAAATTACTAATTGGTTAATTTGAACCACATATCTATCTTTTAACTCAAAGGTTAAAAATGTTTATATAGCGGGTCACCGATACCTCTGTAAAAAAAATTCCAAATTATTTAAGCACAATAAAAATTCAGTTTAGTCTTAAATTTTTATCTAATTTGTGATTATAACTTTTATAAATTCATTAAAATGATTAATGATATCGATTAAATTAATATCGATTAATATGATGAATAATAAAGTAAAGAGTCTTAGAATAAATTTAACAACCTCACATAACGATATTATTCATATAGGTCTATTATAAAGAATAAATTGTTATAATAAAATTAAAATGGGAAACAAGTGCCACCCTTATCTAGTTTTTAAAGGACGGGTCGGGCCGTAGACAATGTGCAAATGAATGAATAAATCATTGAGATTAATTTAAGAGAACCAATTTTTTGCGCAAAAAAATAATGTAATGCTATTATTAGTTTTATTTTTATGTGTTATGGAAAGAAGGGAATGTGAAATCAAGAATTTTTAAAAAATTGCTGTATTGGTTTAATTACTGATAAAGGAAAAAAAACCCACAGGTATCAGGCGATACCTAAAAAAATTGTTGTAAGGAAAAAAAACCCAAGGGTATCAGGCGATACCGATACTTGCTATTATTTAATAAGACACAACAATGCCTAGACGTATGATTCTTTCAATTAAATGTCTATCAATACTTAGCTGGTGGGGCACCATTTTGACAATTTAACATTAAAATAATTTATAATAAAAGAAATTATAAAGGGAAACTAAATTGGTGTTTCACCACCTAACCTTTTACAGTTACCGCGAATTTGCTGCGAAGTATATATAATATGCGGTATTTTTATATTATATACTTCGCCATTAATTTTATATACTTCACCGCGAATTCGCGCTAACTGTAAATGACAGCTAATTTGTATTTGTGCAGCGACGCTTCAAATTGTATTTTAATAAATGAATCATTTCTACATATAAATATTATGGCAATGATACCAATAACACCACAATTTATTTGCTAAGAATGTAATATTTTATTTACTGTTATTTTATTTCAACATTTTTACAAAAGCCGAATTTCCATGTAAATTTTTCCACACTGGGAATACGTGTTATTCCGGAGATAACTGCAAATTTTCTCATGACGTTTTGACGCAGGATAAAACCGAATTACTTAATGGGGTAAAAAAAAATGACATAAGATTTTATATTTATAAAAGTTTAAAAAATTAATATAGATTTATATTATTCGCTCAGAATAAAAAGACTAAAACGCTCAGAATTTTTTGTCCCTTTTCTGCTATACCTATTTATTGGCTTAGCTTTATTTTGTAATAGTGTAACGCTTGAACAAAACGCGTTTACTATAAATGTGGCCTTAAAAGTCAAAAATACTTATTTTAACATGCTTGGCTAAGTTATGAGGGATGGTTTAAAATTTTTTTCTAAAATAATGTCTCGACAAGGGTATCAAATGAAAGCTAATAAAAAAGATTTTTTGTTGATTATTAAAATTAATCATCACTCTAGGTTCTGGGGTCTAGGTTAGTTGTAATGGATTGAGGTGGGGGGTAAAAACTTATTCTAACAAAAGGGCATCAATTAAATTAATAAAAAGATTTATTGAGCCCTATTATAACTATGTCCTTAGATCTAGGTTATTGGGGAGTGGGTAAAAAAAACCTAGTTTAGAAGATATCACGGCAGTTGTTTTCAAAATAAGCTCTTTCGACTGTTTGATTAACCATCGGAATGACTATAAATTATGAGTGGGAGGTAAGTCAAATCTTTTAAACAAGATAACTTGGCATGGATTTTAATTGAAATATTAAAAAAATATAATTTAAAAAAATATCCAATAAAAATATAAAAAAAGTTATTGATAGCATTCATTTCTCTATTATACGACTGGATATTATATACCTAGAAAATAATAAAATTTGCAAAAAAAGAGAAAATTTTCATGGATTTAAATAAAAATTTTTTAAAGGTCAGAGCGTTATATATTTTTCTGAGCTATTCATTTTTTTTATTCTGAACGCTTTGGTTTTATATCTGAGTTATTATTTGTTCTGGATAATTCAGTATTTTTTGCATTAAGTATTTATTCTGGGCGTTTAGAGATTTATTACTGAACACTTTAGTTTTAGTTCTGAGGGATTAAATAAGAGCCATAAATATACACCATATACGTTTGCTAATTGATTCCTTACTATTGAATTTAACAAAATTATTATCATTTCAATTATACTAGGGCGATGAGGGGTATAGTATAATCCCTTATATACCCACTGTAAATTAATAATTAAATGAAAAGAAAATGTTTAATATATTTCTTGTTGTATTTATTGTGCCCTCTTTGTCAAAAGGTGTTGACTAAGAATCCTAACGAAACTCAAAAAGAATCTGAATCCTTTCCAGATGGCCAACAATTAAATGAAGAAACCGACGAAATGATTGGCCAAAACTCGGAAGTCAATGTTAAATACCAAGCTAAGGATCAATTTTATACGTACGAATAAAAATATTGTTTTACCAAAATATTATAATACTGATTATATAAAATAGCATTAGATCATATGTAATTGAAGTAGTAAAGCTTAAGCGATTGATTTTTTAATTTTCCTAAATAAATCATCAATTAAGTGGACCCGTTTAGTAAGAATTATTTGTTTCATTGGAATTAATCTTCTAATAATGGGTTTTTGAAAATATCTTTACGATGTCATTAACTAATATATTACCTGAATGCTTTTATGATTTTTTTGTTTGATTAGCCATGGGTTTTACGCATCGGAAACTGTTGTTGATGATGAAGATGATGATGATGCTGACGAAAATAATAATTATCAAGAATCTACTTTTGGATTTTTAGCAAATGTTATGAAAAATCAAAATATATCTAAAAATACAGGTAATTATTTATAAATTGAATGTTAAATAGGGCTTTTTATTTGTGTTGAAATTATTTCTCACATAAATTCTAATCTGTCATGCCATTCTTATATAATTTTTGTTCTTTTTTTGATATATAAGATGGGTATAATTTGTTTTAAATTCAGGAAATGATCAAGAACGTCTCACATTAATCGCCAAATCGAAATCTGTAGTATCATTTCAAGTACAAACATATTATAGATTGACTTCTTTTATTTGATCCTTATTTATATATCGGAGATTTGCATAAGTCTCTAATAAATTTTGGGCTGGCACGCATTGTTTCAAAGGGAAATTGAAATAAGTGCGCTTGTATATAATTTAAATTTATGTTTTCTGTCTCGGACAGAGTTTTGCAAAAAATATCTTAAACCCAGCTCGGCCCGAGTTTATTTAATTTAGATAGATCTATATGGGTTATACTTATCTCGGAATTGACTGACACAAGATCACGTAATAAATTTTTAATGCATAACCATCTTGGAATGACAATAAAACGTTAAAATAAGTTATCAAACAAAAATATTTTAAGGAGGGTTCAGTATCGGCAAATGAAATGAGCCTATGTTATGGATCAGATTTTAACAATTTTTTGCCTATCCTATCCTGAGTAAACTTTTGATCGGCGGATTCAAGCGTAGCCTTATAATAAATTTCGTTTTTAACAAGTTTTAATGTTATATCGATATTCCATGATGTTTATGCACAAAAAAAATTAGCGAACAATTTGATGTAAATTCTGGGATCATTATACACATTTATAAGAGATCATTTTCATATTGGCACAACCCTATTTTTAAAATTTTATGCTTGGTTCGCCTACAAATATCTGATATATATATCGTATTGGGATATGGAATCATGTGGGATTCGGAATCCCCACGTTTTATTCGGGATCTTTTTTTTAAAATATTTTTTTTTAAAATATTTAAAAAATATTCCGAACCCCATGAAAAATAAATAAAATAATATAATTACTTTTTCTTCTCTTATTTTGCGGCTGGCACCATATAATTAAAAGGCCAAAATAAGAGAATTAAAAAAAAGTAAATAGTATAAAATTAAGGCATATAATAAATGAAAAGGGATGAGGTTAAGACATTTTTGTTTTAAAAAATATTAAAATATATTACTTTTTCTTCTCTTTTTTTGCAGCTGGCACTATATAATTAAAAGGCCAAAATAAGGGATTTAAAAAGAGAATTTAAAAAAAAAGTAAATAGTATATTAAGGCATATAATGAATGAAGATGAGGACTTTTTTGTTTTAAAAAATATATTTATAAAAAATCCGAATTATTGCAACAATTATTCAATGCAATATGGCATTTCATTGAACATTTATGCAGGGACCCGAGTCGTTATTTATAACGGTTCAGTTTGGTTACGGTTCAGTATATAAAAAATTATAATGGTTACGTTTTGTTTACGGTTCTTGAGGAGAAATTTATAAAGGTTCGGTTCGGTTCAGCTAATTATAAAGGTTCATTACGGTTAGAAATTTTTTTTTATTGAAGCAACACCATCTTCTAATTTATTTTTATTATAAGCATCTATGAATTATATATAAAAAAATATATAAGATTCAAAATAACTCATTTTTAAATATATTATTTGAACTTATAAGTAATATATTTTCAAGTATAAATGGATTCCTTTTTGTTTTTTGTGACGATAACACAAAAAGCCCTTTCTACAAGAGCACGTTAATATAATTCTGGATATTCAAATTATTTCCATTTCTAAAATATAAAAACTGAACCGGTTTAACCGTTTTTATAAAGGTTCTTTTTACTCCTTCAAAAAATAATTATATCGGTTACGGTTATGGTTCAGATATTTATAACAAAAATAAAAAATTTTTAAAAAAATATTTAAGAGGATTCGGAATCTTTTTTTTTTAAAAAACAATTAAATTATATTTTTTTTCCTCCTGGCTGGCACCAGAAATTTTTTTTATAAAAAATCCGAATTATTGCAACAATTATTCAATGCAATATGGCATTTCATTGAACATTTATGCAGGGACCCGAACCGTTATTTATAACGGTTCAGTTTGGTTACGGTTCAATATATAAAAAATTATAATTTGGTTACGGTTCTTGAGAAGAAATTTATAAAGGTTCGGTTCGGTTCAGCTAATTATAAAGGTTCATTACGGTTAGAGATATTTTATTTAATATGTATTACTTTTATGCTTTAAATCATTAAATACTCGAAAAAATGGTTTTAATATAAATTAAATGTAGAAAAATAAATGTGGCAATAAAAATATTCACGCCCATTCACGCTTACCACTAAAAAATTTTCAACCCGATCCGCCCGCTCACGAAAGGCAATATTTTTTTCACGCTTTAAAATTCACGGTGTTTTTAAATTTTTCAAAACTTTAATGCTATAATTTTTTGCACTTTTTTGAATTTATTCTATTTATTTCTTTAATTCCATAATTCATAATAACAAAAAATAAATACATATTATAAATCCAAATTTTTACTTAGAAAAAGAAGAATATCTATTTTTTTATTTCAATTGTGTACGATAACCTTTCACTAGAAGCCGAATTTGCTAGGGCTGACAAAATTTTACTCTCTATTCTCAAAAAAGGAAATAAATTTTCCTGCTTCCAAAACTTCAAAATATTGCCATTGTTATTTGTTTTATTTTTTAAAATATTATTTTGATAATATTGATATTGGTATAATTTAAAAAAAAATGATAAACACTAAAATTTTAAAACAACTATATAAAAATATATAAAATTACTAAATAAAAATATATATTGGTCCTTAGCCTTTTTTTTTAAAAAACATTTTGATAATCTCAACTTAAAATTTGTTCGTTGTTATAAATAATTTAGTTTTAACAATCTCTAAATGAGTCTGACCTTATTTGGCTCAACCTACCTAAAGATACATAGTATCCTTAATTGATTTTTAAAAACGGTTAGCTCAAAAATAAACTATTATAATTTTTTATATACTGAACCGTAACCAAACTGAACTGTTATAAATAACGGTTCGGGTCCCTTCTTAAATGTTCAACGAAATGCCATATTGCATTGAATAATTGTTGCAATAATTCGGATTTTTTTATAAATATATTTTTTAAAACAAAAAAGTCTTAACCTCATCCCTTTTCATTCGTTATATGCCTTAATTTTATACTATTTACTTTTTTTTTAAATTCTCTTTTTAAATCCCTTATTTTGGCATTTTAATTATATGGTGCCAGCCGCAAAAAAAGAGAAGAAAAGTAATTATAATATTATTATTTTTTTCATGGGGATTCGGAATAAAAAGATTTAAACGTTGGGATTCCGAATCCCACATGATTCCATATCCCAATACGACATATTTATATATATTAATGTTCTCTCTATTTTAAAACATACCATTTACTTGCTATTTAAAAAAATCAATTGTATATCTGGAAAACAAATATCACAGAAGTCAGTCAATAATTCATCTTCCCTAACGGATACAACAAATAGTAGAAGTGGTAATTACGATGAAGCCGAATTGTTTGGAGCAGAAAGTAGCGAGGACATCATGGACGAAACTTTACGATCTTCCAACACTTCCCGCTCTTCACAATCTCCTTTTGGTAGAACCGCTAAAGAAAACGCGAAATTAGTTATTTCGAAATATAATAATAATAACTTAAAACCGGGAAATATAATACAAGACGGCAAAGACCAAGAGGAAGACTGGGACAGGGAAAATAGTCTAACTAAATTGACTATTGAGGGTTTAATTTATTTACATTAATTTTTTCTACACGAGGATTTAGCTATTTCTCTACCCCTTGAGCCAATGACGTTATTACACCCTGCACCCCTTTATATTATCCCAAGATCCCCCCCCTCCCCCTCCCAACCAAAAAAATAGAAAATTTCAATTAGCAGCAAAACTCATATCCCCACTTTACCCCCTCTTTAATTTAAATTATCATTATAATTCATACCCCCCCCCCCCCTCCTTGATAAAAGTACCTATGAGGATTAAACATGAGTATAAATTTATTTCCTTTAAATTCCCTTTGTTTTTATATTAAAATTAGATTGTTTGTATCTCTTAGAGATGGGCGCGGCCCTAAACCCCCCTAACATGAATTAATTACAAATTATTATTTTTTAAAAAAATCCTAGAACATCTCGATGAAGCAAACAAAGAATCCGAAGAAAAAAATGATGAAAGTGAAGATGAGGATAACGAGGAAAGGATGAGTATGGGCTTGGGCTCTATGTTGGGTTTTTTGGGAACTGCTACTCAAGAGAATGCTTTCATCCCTAATGGTTTACATTTACACACACATATATATGATAAGTTTATTAATTGTTAATTTTAAAACAAAGCGCTCAATTTATAGGCAATTCTTTTTTGGGTATTATTAAAGTGACGTTTATTCTGTTAGTACTAAATTAACTCTATTTAGTTAATATAGGAACTAAATTTATCTCCATTGTAAGTTCAAAGTTTTATCATTAAGGATCCTTTTTACATTACATTTAACAGACCTCACATTAAGTTTACATCTTATATGATTCTTCCTGGTACTATCAGCAGATTAACTGCGGGGGGGGGGTTACCTATTGTTTAAAATATTCTGCCCTAGATAAGAAAATATAAATTTGTTTTGAAAAAAAGTAATGTAAAGCATTTTTGTTAAATCTGGCTGCGCTTGAAAACAAATAAATTGGGGCCAGGGCTCTACATGCATTCAAAGATAAAATATAAAAATATTCATTACTAGTCTACTCAATTTTTTTTAACATTCATAAGTATTGTACGATTGAATTGATATTATGGAATGGGCAAGCCCAAATGAAGCTATAGAATACTATGAAATAATACATAAAAAAATTCCCTACTACTAAGATAAAATCTTAAGATAATTATGTATGATATTTAGAATTCTATTCTACATGAATTATATATTAAATCTCATAAGTTCTCTACACCTGATCGAAATCAATACTGTAATAAAAACGAAAGGGTATGCAAAACTCAACTGGATGATATTTATGAATAATAATATTTTATTATCTTATTGTATAATTTATTAATAAATAAAGATATTTAGTTTAAATTGAGTATTATGATTTTTAGTGTAATTTATAAATGCATACTAAAATATTGCAAATGAACGAATATGCTATATGAAGTGGGGTTATACATACAAAAAAAATACTACTGACCCAAATTTAAATAAATTATTTACTATTGAATAATTTTTTTGTCAATGATATCTTTTTGAAGCCTCCACCAATTCTATATAAAGTATATATCCTGAAATCCCTGTTTTTCAAGTCTAGACTCTAAGCTTATCATTCTTTTCACCCATTGTAAAAATAAGTAAGATAAATGCATATAATACGATTTAAGGAATTTTTTAAAAATCTACAAATTTAGTATCAGATCGATTTTAGCCCATATTTATAAATATCGTAAAGCCTTCCAAAAATTATTTTTATGTATTTTTAACAATTCAAATGTTCATATTGATAAAATCCTAACTTTAATATCTATTTATTTTGGTTTTTTTAAAAATGCAAATTATAAATTATATATAAATATAATATTCATACCCAACTAACTTGAATTCAAATTTAAAAAAATAAAATATAATAGAACATCACGTTAAGGCAAGCAAAGAATGCGTAGAAAAAAAGGAAGAAAGCGAGGATGAAGATAACGACGAAGAAGATGAAAGAGAAGAAAGGATGGGTATGGGCTTAGGTTCTATCTTGGGCTTTTTGGGAAACGCTACTCCAGCTGCCGCTTCCTCCACTAATGGTTTTGCATTAAACCATATACCATTGTTATTTAATTGTTAATTTTGAAACGAATTGGTAAAACTATTGGCAATTCAAGGCAATTCACTTTATTTTCTTTATTATTAAAGTCATGGTTATATTTTATTTATTTTTCTAAATATTTTATTTTCAAATTTTTTCTAATATATAAGAAATATATAAATATGTATTAAGAAGCAAGGCCATTTCCACACAAAATTTTTTAAGTGTTTTCTAAGACATGTTTTTCATAAATTTTTTTACTTCCAAACAACAATCGATTTTTATTATACAGCTGATTAATTATATTACAAATTATTTTAACAAACAATTTGTGCAAAAAGTACTATATCCCCAGAAAAGGGACCAATGTTTCTTTATTGCTAATACTATTTACATATAAAAAGCATATAAAGTTCTTACAGGATCAAATTTTTTCAAATAACTTATACAAGCAGAATAAGCAAACTGAATATTTAGAGAGATAAGTTATCTAAGAGAAAAGACTTAATTTTTAAATATATTACTTTTATTAAAATATTATTAACTAGATAAGTTTCTATATTTTTATTATAAAATTTACAATATCGCATAAAAAATCTAGGCAATGAATATCTTAAAATACATGTTTTACAATATTGAATTAAGAGATACATTTATAATTGTTTATAATATATCAATAAATATGTAAATTGCATAAAATTTCTGTAAATTGTAAAAAAATGTTTCAATTACAACATGCCTGTCATATTTGCTAAGATTTGCAATTGTTCTTAGATATTCTGGGATAAATGTAATGTCTAAAAAACGCAAAATTGCACGCATTAAAAAAACTTTGTGTTTGGAGGGATACATCTATTAAGCTGTCTCGATTTGAAAAAACGTTGTGTCTAGAAATGGCCTTAAATGAAGCGATTTAAAAAAACAAATAAAAAAAATTTTCCAACCAATATAATTCTAAGAAAACATAATTGTGTTCCTAAAAAGGCACTAAAACATTTTTAATATTTTGAAAATGTCCACCTCTTTATAATGGCCAATCTCCCACATTATAGTGGCAACCTCTATAATTTAGGATACCATCTAATCAACTGCTACGCTATTAATAAAAAAGGGGACGCATTTAAAAAAACGATAATTCTTCTATGAATTTTAATTTATTTATATTATAACAAATTCCCCCCCCCCCTCCCCTTTCTTTTTTAATTTTTTTTATTTATGTCTCGTTACATTTCAATGAAAGCATACAAATCCATAGGAAAAAAGGAAGAAAGTGAACATGAGGATGACGACGTAGAAGATGAAAAAGAAGAAAGAATGAATATGGGCTTGGGTTCTATTTTGGGGTTTTTGGGAAGTGCTACTCCAGCTAACGTTTCCACTAATGGTTTAAATAATTATATTTTCAAAATATTAATTTTTTTTTTTTTGAAACGAGGCATATTTACGGTTATTCACCATATTATCTGTAGTTTATTAATTTGGCAACAACACATTTTTTTTATTATTATAGAGTTCTAATTTCACTTTACTATCAATGAATATTAAAAAATTTTTTTTTTAAATATTCACTTATTTTTAAATAGCCGACAAAAAGGATAATAGCAATAGTAAAGAAACTCAACGTCAACTTTATTTTAGTACGGACAGAAAGTTTTATCAAGACCAACATGAAGATAATTACAACGATAAAAACAATTGGAAAGATAAGGTTTTTTAAAAAAAATCTTGATTATTTTTTCCAATTTTTTTAAAAAATTTGAGCTCTTGTGCCAACTCACAAGATTTCTTATATAATTATATTTTTGAAACTTGATTTGCCCTTATGAAATTGAAGGTTTTCTCTATGAAGGAAGGAAGGAAGAGAGAAAGAGAAAAAGAAAAAAAGAGGATATTATATGAATATAATTTTTTTTTTACTTAGTCACGCGATTACAATAACAATAGCCGAAAGGAACAAAAACAATACGGGTATAATAAGTCCAACTTTACCACCAAAAATAATTATCAATCTGCTAAAAACGACAGAGGACGAGGACGAGGCCGTTTCAACAGAAATCGAAACGAACGTCCTCCTTCTAAAACTGGTGAAGAAGGTATCATAAATATTAGGCTCATGATGCCATTATTTTTTCTAATATTCAAATATTCGTATTTTATTATTAAAATAGTTAAAAAAGTATTTGTTAACAATTGCGCCGTATTATTAAAATTAATCATAAGCATTCAATGCTATGGATTAAAATAACTATCCATTTATTCTTTTTGATGCATGCAAAATTTTAAGCACAATATATAGGGATTTGGAAGTTCTTTGAAATAAAAAAAATAGCGTGTAATTTAAGTTTCCTCATCGTTTTATATAAGCATATAAAAAAATACTTTTATATTTTTCTTTGCTTCATGATACAAACTATAATATCGTATAGTATATGCAAGGAGCCCATATAATTTTATGCTTATTTTGTGTCTAAATCTAACAATTAATTTACACAATAGACGAAAAAACCAAATACTCCGACAATAAACCCCAACGTTACAATAAAAATAATCAAAATAGACCGAATTTTACCCCCAATAATCAAAAACAAAATCACTTCGCTTCCAACGATCCTGATAATATACCAAAACCTCCTTATTACAATCCTATGATGTTATCTCAGCAACATAATATGGAAAATGTACCCCCACGTCTTATGTCCATCAATTTTGGACTTTTGAATAACAATCCTTTCCCCCCAAATATAAATGGCGTCGTTACCAACAACCTTTACAACCAGCCTTCTCAATTTCCTATACCTCAATTACAACACCAGCTTACCTTACAACAGAATCTTCAACAAAATTTGCATCATCAAAACCTTTCGAACATCAACATGACTAATATGCCAAACATAGCCAATTTAACACCTCATCAAATGCCATTATTTCGACCACCTTATCAAACTTTGCCGCCTACTGCCTCCATCCTGCCTCTTCCTTCTCCTTCCGGACTTCCTGCGAAAGTCGCCGGGTATAACCAAAATATCGATGATGATGATAACCATACCGAATTACTCTTCAATAAGAATTCCAATATCGATTTAAAAATTGAACAAGTCCCGAGAATTAGATCCTCTTCATTATGGTTTCTTTCACTTATAGATGGGCTACCTGATAAGCATCGCTGGGATCAAAACATTCTGCAGCAGCAAGCTAAAAAGCGAGAAACTACTTCCAACATTGATCAAAAGCCTTCCGACCCTCGTCTTGATCATCCTGGTTACAAGTTTTATAGGAAGGAAACTCTTAAAAAAGGTTTTAATGGCAATGCAAGTTGTAATCCAACACCACTTATCACGGGTTGTAATCCATTGGATCCCAGGTCTCTAATGGTCAGCCGAGATCCGAGGTTATCAGCCGCTCGCCGTTCTTCTGTCAAATCTGGGGTGGCACAACCCGAGCCCAACCATAATGGTTTACATCAATCCGGAGTTATTTTAATACAGCCTTTCTCTCAGATTATTGGGGTCGATGAGATAACTAGCCCCACCCCTCTTCATACTTCTTCCACGACCTTTAATTCGACACCTCTCCCCTCAGTTTTAACTTCGACAATGTCCGATTTCAAAATACCTAGGCGAACAAACAGAATAGCAACGACCGATGGTGAAAAACACAAAAACGCTAATAGCAAAGTGAAACTAAATCTATCGGATTACAGGGCTAGATTGGGTCAACCGGTTAAAAACGATGAAAAAATGATAGAAACAGTTGTTGAGGACTCTCCTGTATCTTCCCCTCTAGCACAAAATATATTTAACATATACAATGATCCAGAAGATGCTATTTTATAAATAAACAAATAATCATTAGCATTCTACAAAAAAATTTTTTTATTATCGATGTTGTATTTTAATTTTTTAAAAAAAATGTAATATCAATATCAAGTTATTAAATATTGTATATTGAGAACATAGATATTATATATTTTGTAAACATTATGTATAAATTAAATATATTATATATTTATTTATGTCATCTATTATACTATACCTTTTATATCCACAGGATAAATAAAATACATGATTAAATTTAATAACAATGATCAAAGATAAATACAGTACCGGGCTGAATCTTATTTTTTGCCATTATTTGTTAGGGTCCGCTACCAATCCTATACAAAAAATAAAACTCATTTTTAAATGTATAAAAATTGTCAAAACGCATAACATTTTTAATAGTTCTGACAAAAATCCTTTTTTTGACGGTCACCCATATTATTTGTAGGAAAGATGCCTAAATATTTACAAGATAATAAATTTTAAGAAGTCATTTTAAAAAAACGACTGGAGAACTAAATCTTTAAGAAGATCCAACATCCAATTATGATGATTTAATCCATCGGCTTCGCTAGTTCTCAATATGTAAGATTATTGAAAATTTAAAAAATATTTTGAGTGTGATTAGCTTGCTTCTGCCCCCCCCCCCCAACCCCACAAATGTTATCCAATAAATATTCTTTAATAATGGATTTAAAAGAGATGAAAGAAATTTTTTATTATTTATTTTATAAAAAAAATATATTACTAAGTTTGGAAAAGAATTAAATGAACACCCACCCCTATTTTTAAAAACCTATGGTAAGTATAAATAGTGTTCTATCTAAAAATTCAGAATTATAGATGACGAATAAGTAGCGTTTATAAATTTAGAACGGTATCGGCTTTTATAAGACACTATTATGCTGGTTATAGTAGAGCAGAGCTCTACGTTATACCCTTATTTTTAGGGCCATACAGATCCAAGAAAAAAAGTTTTGAAATATTCTTTCCGACCAATCCTACTTTTTTAAATACGTTCCACCATTACCTCTCATTTTAAGAATAGGTCTGATTCGATTCCGAAAAATAAATATAGGCGAAATTATTTTTAAAAATGTCTATGGTGAATTCGATATCAAATCAACAAAAAAAATTCGATTCTCAACTCGACCTCTTTCAATTTTTCTTAAATTTTGCATTTTGATAGTATATACTATAACTTAGAAAAAAAATAAATTTTACCTTCTAACACTGTGTATCCGCTAAGATATGGGCGTTTAAAGCGCGGAAAAATGGTACATTTTTGACAAAATGCACCTCATTTTTTCAAATATCTCGAGAAATAATTATGTTAGAGAAATAATTTAAATTTATTATGTAGCTTAGTTCTTTAATATGACATAAAAATAAATATAATAGAAATCTGATTAATATCGGAAACCGGATGTATAAAACCGGAAATGGCCATAGAAAAAAAGGTTTTTTTTTCCTGAAGATAGATATCACACTGTTTATATTTGTACAAAATCCTAGACTGGGATGAACATGGGTTTAGGCGTTATGACTCTTTATATTGCTAGAATTGATCAAATTTAGCAAAAATATTATCATATTTAAATTTAATGAGTAGTTATATTTTATGTCTAAATTAATAGGCTCTTATTTTTTTAATATTTTTATAAATTTTTGTGAGGTGGTTAGGATAATGGGCTTTATTTAACACCTTAATTAAATTTTTTCTCGAAATTACTTGACAAAATAATTCTACATAAATTTATAACTTTATTTGCCTCAAATTGTATAATTAAATATAATACAATCAAAAATTTATATTTAAAATATATAATATATTAAATCATCCTTAGAATTTGAATAAATTTTGACTTTTGTTTTCGCCTAGGGGAATAAAAGTATAGAACTTCTGTGTTCCAGAATTTATTTTTGCTCTCAAAAACCTGCTTTCAAGATGATTTTCTTTTTAAATATATTAATTATTTCTCATAAATATATAATTCACCCCATGGATATTATTTATTGTATGGTTAAATAAATCTATTGTTGTCAATATTTGATGTTCATATGGGCTTTGCAAGCTTGCTCGAGCTGCTAACCATTTAGTAACGCCTCCTAAACTATTGCAGGGACTTTTACCATTTGGGGTTTCAAAAATGTCACTCACCCTTTATCCCAAAATCATTTTCATGATTGTAAAGATTAATGAAATCTTTTTTATTTTTTATAGGGTTGCTGCTCCATCAGAAAAATAATAAATTTTAGCCACTCTATCAAATCTTTATTTCAAGAAGAGGATCAATTTTATTTGAAATAAATAAAATTCACATGCGTTGTGCTTTAAATAATCTGATATAACCACTAATTATACATGTTTTATTATGTTGTCCTCATGGTTATAAATAATAAAATTTGGAAGTTATTGGTCCAATTAAATCCTTGTGCATGGTCCTGCACTACAAATGCTTAGTTTTCTGAAAAATCCGCAATATCCAAGAATTCTCCAAAATTTAAATTAGATTTTAAAAAGTTTCAAATTAATAATTATCGCGAAGCTATAAACATATGAGGAACCAAATTGTTTAATCTTTCAATTAAATAATCTACAAATTCGTCTGCTGATTATAAGTGTTTCGAGGTTAGTTCGATCAACTAATGGTATATAATCTATAGAATTTGCGTCAAATAATATACTTTGTTTTAATTTTGAAGAAACGGGGCAAAATTTATTGTTGAATTTTAAATTTAGTAGATTATTTCATGCTAAATAAAATATTTAACAGATTTGGCAAAGTAATTTAGAGACAAAATTTAACTAGTGTTAAATAAAGCACATAATTTCAGCCACCTTTCAAAAATTTTGATAAAAATAAAAAACAAGTAAGGGCCTATCATTTAAATATAATTTTTAAATAAATATTTTTTCATAACTACTCATTAAATTTAAATATGCTGATATTTTTGCTAAATTTGATCAATTTTAGCTATATAAAGAGTCATAACTCCTAAACCCACGTTTATCCCAGTCTAGGATTTTGTACAAATATTAAGCAGTGTGATATCTATCTTCAGGAAAAAAAACTTGAAAATAAATATGTGATGAAATCAATTTTTATTATAAATTTAACAACTTTTTACCTTTTGTACCGCAGTATATATATATTTTACAAAACAAACAATTAATCGTCGTACACAATTAATAATATATATATTTAAAATTCATCATATATTTAATTGCCTTTGAGGCTAATTGTTTCTATTACATCTATTCTCTCCTTTTTTGAGCTCTCGATTTGAAACGGTATAAATTGTTTTCTTATCCGTTTTGGATAACGGCTGCTTGTACTTTCGTTCTCTACCACCGTTTGCTCATTACTGTCGATTTTCATCTAATCATTTATGATGGTCTCTTTGTTTATTGAGTCTTGTATTGGGTCAATGTCTTTGGTCACCAATTCGTGTATAGGATCAATGTCTTTAGTCATTGAGTTTTGTATGGGCTCATTTTCATTCATTTGTGGTGTAGTTTGCATCGTTTCTTCTTCTCTTCCCTCCTCTCAATTTTTTAATTCTGAGTTGTCGAACCTATGTTTTAACTGATTAATATGTCTTCTCCATACCCCTAATTTAGTTTCAACTAAAAACGTCATTGGTCCTGTTCTTTTAACGATGATACCTGGTATCCAATTATCTTTTTTAAAATCCTTTGCATATATTTTTTCATTTATATTAAAAAAACCTGGTAACTGAGGTATATATGGATGAGGATAAACTGGTTTTATTAATTGTAAAGGTCCTATGGGTTGAAATTTAAGCATAATTGAACTTGGTGATTGTTTTGTGGTTATTTGTGGCGTATTTCGATAATTAAACAAAAAATCTTGTATTTTATTATAATCATTATGTTTTTTTAAAAATTTTTTAAAAGTTTGTACTAATCGCTCCGCTTCTCCGTTGGTTCTAGGGTGGTATGGGGCACTATATACATTTTTAATTGATAATTGTTTGCAAAATAAACTAAATTCTCTACTTTGAAATGGGGGGCCATTATCCGTAACAATCGTATTGGGGTAACCGAAAATAGCAAAAAGTCTTAACAACAATTTTCTTACTTCAGTAAAATTATTCGTCGTCATTTTTTGTATTTCAGGCCATTTACTAAAACTATCTATTATTACTAGGTATATATCTCCGTTAATTGGTCCGGCAAAATCTAAATGAATTCTTCCCCATGGTTTATTTGCGGAGGGCCATTTCCCTATGATCGTTTTATTGCCAGGATTATTTTGTTGACATAATTCACAATTCTTATTGTGTAATTCGATATCTTCGTTAATATTCGGCCACCAAACGTTCTCTTGTGCCAATAATTTTGTTTTAGTATAACCCTGATGCCCCATATGTAAAAAAGACAAAATATTTACTTGTAATTTTTTTGGAATTATGGTTCTTAAGCCCCATAATATACACCCTGCCTCCATCGTGAGTTCATTTCGGCGCTGGAAAAACGGTTTAAGATTTTCCTCTATCATCTTTGGCCATCCAGTTGTAAGGTAACGTGAAACCTTTGATAAAACCGGGTCATTTCTTGTGTGTGCTTTTATATCTAACGCTGAAATAAATTGTGGAGCATCCGATACTATTAAATTAATATCTAACTCTTCCCAAGTAGATGGTTTACCGTCAATTGGAAACCGGGAAAGCATATCCGCATTACTATTTTTTTTCGTCCCTCGAAGTTGCAATTCATAATCATAATTTGCTAGTAGTAATGACCATCTTACTAATCTTGATGACATATCTGTTATTCTTTTATGTGGATTAAGTAACGATATTAGGGGTTTATGGTCAGTAATGATAATGAAATGTCTGCCAATTAAATATTTTAATCCAAATATAATTGCTAAAGCCTCACGCTCTATCTGACTGTAATTTCCTTCGGCAGCATTTACTGTTCGAGACGCGTATCCAATCGATTTTTCCTCGTTATTAATGATATGAGATATAACTGATCCTATTCCATGTTGAGACGGATCAGCAGCTAGAATTATCGGTTTTTCCGGATTATAATGTGTTAAAATTGGTGCTTCTGATATTAATTTTTTAAATTTATTAATCACAATTGTTTCATTATTTGTCCATTTCCATGGCACATCTTTCCTTAAAAGCCTATATAATGGAGCGGCAATAGTCGAAAAATTGTTTATAAATTTTTGATAATATTTAT